TTGTTTTAACTGTATTTAGTGGTTTTATTTTTTCTATATTTTTCAATTTTTAATAAAGATATTTTGAGGTTTTATGCATTTGCCTTCTCGCAAACTGAGAACAGAATTAATTGAAGGAGAAATATATCTCTAATGAATTTCGAGGAAATAAGTGTTTCGTATTAGCAGCAAATATTGTCCCCAGTCTGTCTCGGACAGGGAAGTATGCTTACGAGTAGAGCATGCGCATTAGGTAAGCGGCGCTGAATCGTCTGTGAAAAACTTTTCTTTTTTATTTGTTTAATTTCTTTTGCACATCGTTTTAGATTTATTATAATATTTGAATAGAACATGTGGCAATGATTAGATAGTTCTTCAGATAATATAATTTTTATGCATTCTGAATTATAAAATAAATGTGATGTAAAGATGTTAAGTGAACTTAGCGCCAGAGTGTTGCTATTGTAAACAAATATAGTGAGTTTTAAAGAGTGTATTTATTCTATTGTGGTTTATGCGCTATCGACGAAGTAGATTTAATTCAATTCAATAAGTTTAAATGAAAAGCAGGAAAAAATGCGTATAATTTCATATTATGTACAAGGAAGTCATGTGGTGTACACATCCGTCTTTTTTTCTTAATTTACATTTTTCTTTTTAAAAATGTAATTTTTCTTTTCTCCTTTTTATTTATTTATTTATTTATTTATTGTAGATGGTACATTGTTGGTTGGAACTGATGTCGACTTCAAATTGGAATTCCTAGTTTTTGTCTAAATTTGCATTATTCATAGGAGCTCTTTTCATTTTCATTAATTTGATTATTAAATCTTCGCAGCCAAGGTGCTAGGATTCTAAAAATATTCCTATTTTCACTTTTTATGTTCAATATAATATATTATATATTATGTATATAATATATGCATAAACTTTTATTACATATTTACAGGATTTCTCAAGTCTGTTTACTGGAATTTACTATTCTTTCTTATAATTTTCATTCTTCTTTCTAATTTTTTTATTGATTGACTTCTAACTTATAAAGTAATTTACATTTGAGGATTATGCTTTTCTTAGCTTTTCGGTATGTGTTTCTCAGTATCCCATGTATAGCTAACGTAACATTTAAAATAATGGTTTTCATTTCCAGTTATTCGAAAACTGTACATGATTTTAATACATGTTACTTAGTTAAAAGTTCTTCATCTCAATCGTATTTTTTTATTTAATACATTTTTGAGGTCTCGTAGTTAATTTCATAGTTCTCATAGTCAGAGGACATAAAACTGTATTTTGTTTATTAATTAATTATTTTAGTTTGAGTAACATAATTGTATTACTTAGTTTACAAGCAAACCGTTCTCTGAATTTGCTTTTTCGAATTATACCTTATTATAAAGATTTTAAATTATAACCATTACTTAGAAAATTTATTTACTGAAATAATTATGTTTTTTTATTGTTTCTTTATACATTAATTCAGAGTAGTTCCCATTTTTTTATTATTTTACTTTTGTAACTGATATTGAATACTATTAAGATACTATATAGCAGTAACAGCAGCATTTTTAGATTTACTGGATTTCTTTGCATTTTTTCACAACAAATATTGGTTTCAAACATTTAATATTTAAACTTTCTTTTTTTGTAACCTTTTATATTATAGAGTTGGTTGTCATAAAGTGGCGGCCTTATCATTTCTTCTTTCGTTTGCACTATGAACTGTATTTTATGTTATTTTATGTTAGTTCATTTTTGTTTTGCTTTACGTAGAATTTTTATTAAACTAAATTATGAAGTATTTTAAATTATTTGTTTATTTAAGAATGTTTTGGCTTATCAGGAAGCTAATATGAGTTAAAAAAACTCAGTCGTGATTCTTGAAATTAAGTCTGCCGTATTATATATTTAATTTTATATTCAGTCTCGTCTATTTCTCTACTTTCATACATAAACAAGTTAAATTCTGATTTTTCGATTTAATCTGATTTCGATTAATTTAAAGATTTTATGTGCAACTTCATACCTCTAATAAGTAATAGTTTAAGCAAGGTGAGGGGCTGATTAGGATTTATTTCACTTCAGTGACATTTTCTAAGTTTTTCATCCTCCTTTTTATTGCATCAAAGGTTATATGTATCTTTCTAAATTGGAATTAATAGTTAATTCATTAATTATAGAAAATAATTATGAAGAGTATTTTTAATTCAGCCTTAGATTACGAGGCTTATTTTTTTTACTATTCTTTCATTTTGTAAAACTGAAAAAGCTAAGAGCTAGATCTCATTAATAGCACAGGTATCTTTTAACAGTTTGTGAATTCTTCTGCTCTCGTATTTGAATATTTAATTTGAATCTTGTTTTCGTTTTATGTCTCCTATTTGTATTAGTTTTAATTAAATTTCAATGTTTTTCTCTTACCTTACAGTTCTCGTAGGAACTAGGTAAGACCACGTTTAAGTTTCAAATGAATGAACAAATTTTATTATTATATTGCTCCTTATGAAAGCATTCGGATAAATTGCACTATATCATTGGTTGTAAACAATTCTATCAAATTTTTCTTTTAAATGTGCATATGTGTCTCAATAAAATTTCCTTCGATTTTACTAATAATTCGAGTATATATGTAATGTATTTAATGAAAAACATATTTTTGAGCAAGTAAAACTCAGTTTCTGTAATTTTCTATATTTATATAATTCAATAATTATTTAATTTATTTATCAATCAATATGTAGAAAAATAATTTGGGAAATATAGGATGGTTAAATGCAAGTGTATTTAAATATAGGATGCTGATATATATTAGAGGTTATAAGCGATATTTATTAGTCAACAGTAATTTACAACCGCCCTGTCTTGGTGGAAGAACCGGCTGCTGTACTCTTGATCCAAGTTCGAATACCGGAGAAAGCATGAATGTCTCTCTTTTTCTTGCTGCTTTGATCAGCATAGTGATTAGTGATGCTGGCTAGCAAACTGTGAAGTCGCAGACTGGAATCCTAGGAAAGACTTGGATATTTTTAAGTGTATAGTGCCTGTGTGTAATGAGAGCACATAAAATACTGGCGAGCAAAATGTTCTCTTGAGCCATATGGTAACAGGGGATGAAGGTGGGAATGGACTTTCGAATCCCTATTTCATCACAACTGGAACGGAAATTTACAGTTAAAGAAGTGGGGTTATACTTGTTAAACTGTTTGGTGAAGTTGTGATGTCCCTTTCACTTCTTCCTGTTCTGCCTTTTTTGCCAATCTAGCGCATCTGTACTACAGTGAAATTAGCAACGCTGTCAATGATAAGAAGGCTAAATGATAAGTGCGGTTATTCTCATCCAATCCTTAAAAAGAAAGTGACTGAGGAGAGACACTTGCTTTATCTTAGGAGAAAAAATTGTGATATTGCTATTTAAAGTATATGTAAAAGAGATTAAGTTATCCGGCTTATGTTAAGTGATTGGAAATAAAAAATATTTTTTTAGTTATCACAACATTCTCATTCACATGCGACTAAAAATAAAATCGTTGAGCGCTCATAAGAAATTGTATTTGATTAGAGTGCCGTGATTAATTGAAGTCATTTAGTTTCAAGGCTGTTGTAATAGCTAAACAAAAATGTTATTTCCTTTTTAATGCCGCCTTCTAATGCCATGTTACGTAAGAAATTATTTTACAGACATTTTACTTAGAGTCAAGCATTTCTTAATATTTTGAATTTCGAATTTTAAATCACCTGTATGTCGTTCAGTCCCCGTAACGTAATGCATCTTGAAGTTGGGCGGAAAATAGCAACAAAAATTTGTATTCTATTAGCTCTTTCTGTGTGTTATATAGCTGTGTGTTAATTGTACTGTGTAATATGTGTAACTGTACAAATATGCAGAGAGCGAGAAAGAGTAAAGGAATTTTTACGTTGCGATTCCTAGCTCATATTTTTAATGTTCCGCCTATTTCCTTGTATCACCTCTCGCCCCCTCCCCCCCTTTTTTTTTGTAATCTTTAGATTTTTATAAAGAGAGAGAGAGATGTGCTTTCTATTGCAAAGAGTAAAAGTTCAAATACATTTTCAAAACAATACAGATAAATATGTGACGTGTTTGAGAAGGCAATGAAATTTTAGTTAAATTCTCAAATAAATAAATGTAGCATTTCAGATACTTAGAAAGAACATAGTTTTCTTCATACTCACTTTAGTCGGACTGAAATGTCATATAATAGATGACATGAGTAATTAAAATATTATATTTGCAGATATTTAATGGTACATTTGTAAATGAAGGGATACTGTTGAAATAATTAAGTCAGCATTTATTACTAAACACATTTTATGAAGTACGTGATAAAAGATGATATAAAACGATAAACTAAAAATGTTTCGTTCAAAATCAGCATCATCAGTTTTTGAACTAGAAATTTTTTTAAATTATATAAAATAATTTAATCCTTCACCTTTTTTAATGGTAGTCCCATCAGCTAGTTTCCTCTGAAGGAACTAAATTTTCAAATTAAATTTAAAATTTAAAACTAGCATTATTATTTTGACTTCTGACATTATTATATGTTCATAAATGAACACTTTCACATTATATATATAATTTTTCATATTCCGAGCAATGGTTTTCATTTTGTTTATAGCTATTAAACTATGATATTTATTATTATTTAATCATTCCACCTAATCGCAGATAGAAAGCAGGAGATTTTTATTTAAATTTGTAATCACAATGGTAATTATTAATTAAATATATTAATTATTGCGTCAAAATAGCTATCACATTACTTTACAACTGCTACTAAAATAATAATTTAAAAAAATTATATGCATGTTATATAGAGTGAGGCAATCTTATTTATATTCAGACAAAATATTTTTAGCTTTCAAAATATGGTTCTTTTGAATTATATGCCTTTTGTGGTATATGAAACTAATAATTAATGTGGTTTTAGTAACGCAGATTTTCATTAAAACGAGCATTTTAGCTCTTTAAGCTGTTGTGCTTTATAAATCCTTTTTTACAGAGTCCCGGTGTGCACAGGGAACCAATTGGACGCCTTGGGTGCGCTTTCAGTAGTCAGCTCCACTTGACAACTGGTTCCTCTACACTTGCTTCTCTAAATCACAGGTAGCTATGAAAGCTTTATTTTAATTTAAAAAATTATATTTTTTGTTATTTCTGTTCTGTATTTCCGTTTCTTCTGTCAGTCTAAAGAAATATGTATTAGGCGAGATTTAAATATCAAACTAAGGTGTTTATCAACAATGTAAAACTCCCGTTCTCATTTACTTAGTCTTAAGAATATGCAAAGCGCACGAAATTACGTAATTTTTATAAACGACAGCATGTAGATTTTCAGTTTTGACATTTATAATGGCAGTGTTTTCATTGAAATCTTTTTAAAACGTCACTATATCATTTTACCAAACAAATAACAACCTGCTGAAATGGTAATGAATTTGAAGCTTTTTATGTCAGATGAAATTAATAAGCAAGCACACGCTATTCTTAAAATATTGTTCTCATTAGTTCTGAGCTGCAGTGAAACTTCGCAATGATTCTCACGAATTCGCAGCATGACATTTTGTCATATAGTTGTGTCTAAATATCTTCAGAGATATCTTAAGAAAATAAGATTAGAAGAAAATCTAACTCATATAGATGAAAATATTTTCCAATTCAATTCAAACTTCTGTATAAAAGTTTTTTATGTTCACAACTGGACATGAACGTGTAATTCTCTATTTTATTACGAAATTGCAGAATCCAAAATATTTTACTTCAAACTTGTTAACCTAATTATGATGTAGGTTTTAAATTTCTAGTTTTTACTTCCTAACATGTGGTCTTTTTGATTTCAGACTGAAAGAAACTAGACATATGTGTAAACATATAAACAGATTCAGGAAGTTAATTTAAAAATTGTGATTAAATTCAAAATGAATTGTAGATGTTTCCTGAAAGCTCTCTAATTTGAAGCACCAATGCATGCAGACTTATCTGCTTGAGAGAGAACATTATGTTAACAAAGAGCATTTAAAATTATCTCCCATTTCAAGAAATAATGTACGAAGTAGAGGAAAGAGTTCTTACCTGATTTTTCAATATTAAAGATTATAAACCATCATGTATTCATATGAGAGCTTTTGTATCTTTTAAGCAGCTTATAACTGAACATTCAAAGAGCATTAACTACCAAAAAGATAGACTATGATATATGAAATTCATGCATCAAAAAACTCTACAGGAAGTTATTAAAATATATTTTATTGAGAAATCTAAAAATTACTGGAATGCTGAAATTCCTATATTCATTGAACATAGTGGGAGTTAAAATGCGATGAAGTCCTCAAACCTTTTTGAGCAAATTCTGTTATTAAAATAATATTCATTTGCTGTTTGATGCCTTTTTGTACATTTCAAGTGTTTAAAAACACGTTAAGTTTCGGACCAAAATTAACGGTGATCAAAACATTTAAAAGACTTTAAATTTCCATTTTTTCTAGTCATATTAGCTCTATGTAATTATTATGTATCGAAAAGCAGAAGTAAAATTTATACGATAATAATATCTTGCATTTTGCTAGAAAAGAATAAAGACAGAAACAGTGCATTAGTATTAAAAAATAAATAAAATTTTGCGAGATATAGGAATGAACTGTAATTTCTTTGTTAGAAAGAACTTCTACATTAAAAAATTGCTTTAAGCATCACATCACAAAAGTTTAGGAATGAACGCTATTTTTATGTTTCAACCTAATATAATTTTATATACAGGAATGTATATAATGGAATGTATATAATATAGTTATCTGCAGGAATGTACATAATGGAATGTATATAATATATTTATCTACAGGAATGTACATAATGGAATGTATATAATATATTTATCTACAGGAATGTATATAATATATTTATATACAGAAAATGTATGAGAATATGCATCATTATATTTTTTGGAAAGAGATTTATGCAAAAAAAGCCTCTAAACTTTATGTTTGACAATAAATAGCTATTGTTTAATTAATATATGCACTTACACCACATTTCTAAAGTTTTGTCGGGCTTCATATATTATTACATTAAGTTATTATCTTCCGGATGCTATTTTAAAATAAATAGTGTCACTCTGTCGAAGTATGTCCCACTTTTAATGACGATCATAAATCATGAATGCTGTTTGCGATCCAGTGAATTTTTCTGCAAATTATGCTCTGATATTTTTCAATATTTGCAGTAATGCACTGTATATGCTGATTCAATGATCCTATCAGTATTATTATGCTATCCGTGTGCGTATCGTTTCTTATTTCTATATTATTATATGTTCTTATTTCTAAATAAGATTTAAAATGGAAAAGCTTATTTTCTCACATGCCAAAATCTTTGTGGCAAAGATATTTAAGGTTTTGATTTGGTTTATTTAATTATGACAAAGCACTTGAGAGCTATCTGCCTTTAAGGTGAGATACACTGAAGTGACAAAAGTCATAAGATAGCAATATTCAAATATACAGATGGCAGTAATATCGCGTAGAAAATGTATAAATGCGAAGTGCTTTGGCAGGGCATTCATTTGTGTTCAAGTTATTCATGTAAAGAGGCTTTGACGTGATTATGGCCGCACGAAGAGAATTAACAGACTTTGAACGCGGAATGGAAGTTGGAGCTAGACGCATGGGTCATTCCATTTCGGATATCGTTAGGGAATTCAACATTCCGAGATCCACAGTGTCAAGAGTGTGCCGAGAGTATCTAATTTCAGGCATAACATCCCACCATGGACAGCGCAGTGGCCGACCACCTGCACTTAACGACCGAGACCAGCGACGTCTGCGTAGAGTTTTCAGTGTTCACAGACAAGCAACACTGCGTCAAATAACCGCAGAAATCAATGTGGGACGTACGAAGGACGTGTCCGATAGGACAGTGCGGCGAAATTTGGTTTCATTGGGCTATGCCAGCAGAAGACCGACTCGAGTGCCTTTACTGACAGCACGACATCACCTGCAGCGACTCTCGTAGGCTCGTGAGCATATCGGTTGGTCCCTAAACGAATGGAAAACCGTGGCTTGGTCAGATGAGTCACGATTTCAGTTGGTAAGAGCTGATGGTAGGATTCGAGCGTGGCGAAGACCCCACGAAGCCATGGACCCAAGTTGTCAACAAGGCACTGTTCAAGCTGGTGGTGGTTCCATAATGGTCTGGGCTGTTTTTACATGGCATGGACTCGGCCCTCTGGTGCAACTGAACCGATCATTGACTGGAAATGGATACCTTCAAGTACTTGGAGATCACTTACAGCCATTCATGGACTTCACGTACTCAAACAACGATGGGATTTTTATGGATGACAATGCGCCATGTCACCGGGCCACAATTGTTCGCGATTGGTTAGAAGAACATTCTGGACAATTCCAGCGAATGATCTGGCCACCTAGATCGCCCGACATGAATACCATCGAACATTTATGGTACATCATCCAGAGGTCAGTTCGTGCCCAAAACCCTGCACCGTCAACACTTTCACAATTATGGATGTCTATAGAGGCAGCATGGCTCAATATTCCTGCAGGGGACTTCCAAAGACTTGTTGAGTCCATGCCACGTCGAGTTGCTGCACTTTGCCGGGCAAAAGGAGGACCGACAAAATATTAGAAGGTATCTCATGACTTTTGTCACTTCAGTACATGTGTTCGTGGAGGACTTGCTACAGGAAACTGGCTCGTGTACACGTTACATAGGAGAAAAACCACGGAAGCGCCCACGGCCGGCCCGTTCATTACGGAATTCAAGCCTCGGACAGAACTCCTAGTGTTCAGCGACTTTGCTATCTATTCTAAAAGTTCTGAATTTAGTTTGTAGAAAACTTTCAGGCTTCTGTAATCGAATCACTATTATATTATGGAAATCAATCATGTGGAAATCTCGGAACAGGAATGAAACCCAGAATATACTTGGAAAACTGAATTAAAAATAAACAGTAATTTTTTTAATTCAATATTCTTGAATTTGCAGTGTATCTATGCTATACTTACATTTTTTCAAGTTTCTTATTCAGCTGTTTATTATGTTACGTATATAATTTTACTGAAATATAACTGCATTCAGAATTTTCAACAATTCTGCTATATGCTACTTGTTTTTTATTTGTACGTTCCTGTTCATTAATGTTTCAACACTTATACTATTCTTATAAACAATTTTGTCAATAAGCACTTTCTATTTTTATCTTTTATACAAAGGACAGTCAAAAATAGAACAGGTTTAGTACTTTTATTAGTTGAGTACGCGTAAATAGGACTGAGATCACCATGCGTGTTAATTTTTAGCATAATTTACGGTGTTCAGTGCATGTGTGATGTTTAGTGTCATCATCATACGAGGTAACGAGGAAACCTTCTCTGACCGAGTGCATAGGTAGTTAATAACGCATTGCCACTTTTATTTCATTGCCCGGAATGGACTTCTTGCCATAAATGACCTTATTAAAGTTCAACTCATAAACCATTGAAGCTTTGCATATGTATCGCCAGAAGTGTCTTTTCGTCCTTTGATGAATATTCGTTTATTTCACATTTTCAGTAATTATAAATAGATAACTACCCTTCATTGTTCTTCTCACGCTCTCTCTTCATATATGTTTTCAATTAAGTGTCACCTGGCGTTAATTGGTTAAATCATATCTTCACCTAGACCGACGAGATGGCAAGCATGGATAACTCAGGAAAGCATATTTTTAAATAAGCATTACTAAGTGATTTTAATTTATTATTACCGTGTTATATTTTTTTCATTCTTCCTTGTATATGTGCTTGTATAGATATATTTAGATTTATACACTTTTTTGCATCTTTTGCTCCAGCGCTTAAACTGAAAAAAAGAAGTGAAATGTTGATACTTTTGCCGTTTAGTATGTAAACGAAATATCTAGAAAGTTAGTATTCTTAGCTTTTCTTCCCCTGATATGTCTACCCTAACGTTAAGAATAATGTAGTTCTGACACTTTACTGTTATTTTTAATATTTAGAAGAAGAAGTCCAGACCCTTCTGATTCCAGCAGTTCATTGTTTCCTAGGATTCACCTCCGTGCGGCAGAGCACACGGGCTATAGCCGACTAGGTTCTGATAAATCTACGAGTCTCCCCAGCATCTTAACCGTGCAGCAACAGAGATTACCCGTTCAGAGGGTTCCAGTCCCTAGAGAAACAGAGGAGCCACTTCCCCTTCTGGACCGCCACCGTTTGCCTCCTCCACTGGACTCCGGGGACAGTAGTGACACTGAAGATGGAAATTCTCGATTGGATGAAGACCCAACGATATTTCCTAAGAGATGGATATCCCCACCGGCTTCTTTCGGGGAGAATAGTCATCCGGCAGCGAGATACGATCCCTATGGAAGAAGATTGCCCCTTCTTCCAAACGGTGAGTCATTTTTTTCTTTTCTTTCCTTCCCCCTCCTCTTTTTTTAACGGAAACCAAATACTGTCGGGGGAAAAGGGACCTTTGTCTTCTTGTTTTTCTATGGAAGGTGAAAGAGGAATTCATTTACAAAATAAAAATACTCTGTAGGATTCCCCACTGTGTAATTCTAAGTTACTGATAGAAGTGAAGAATCTTAATAATTGATAAGCGAATAATCGCTTGAGTTTGTGTGACAGGAAACAACAAAATAGAAGGGTAAAATATGCCTTTATTATTCAAATTAAAGTTTAACAAAACTCCGTCTTGGAGTTGTACAATAAAGCCGACACTTGGGATTGAACTTAAGAGACTAAGACTTAAACTAAACTATTCTTAACTAAATAGATATAACCGAAGCTATCAAGATTCTAACAGAGTTGGCCTCTTAACGTTACTTAACTGCGAAGCTATCAAGGGCCTTAAGTACGGCCGAGTGTGATAATACCTTACGAGAGAGTAGCCTGAAAGGCGGACGTGTGCAGCCAGAATATCTGGTATCTCTCTTCCTAAGACTTTAGAACTTCGCTGTTATATACCGCTTCTCCTCATTAACATTCAGACGTGATTCTAAAAATACGTTCTGGCAGGAAGTAGTAAGTTGAAGTAAGAATCGATAGGAAAGGAATTTTAACTCAAACTTTAACTGTTGATAAAATTAACATAATCCTTACAACTCTTTAGAGAAAAATATGCTATTTTCGAAAGCCATATGAAGCATTATTTTGCCTATCTAACTGAGAACATTGTGTATATAAGCTTAGAAGTTTTTCAATTAATGCAGATCTTGCTCTGGTTATCTGGCTGCCTGGGAATCTTCGTGGTTTTCCACATCTGAAACCTGGATACGAGCCAATTTTCGCTAGAAAGTCCTTTCCGAAGACATTCCTCCTCGTGGGCCCATAGTCCTCGAGTGCTTCTGCATAATCAAATAAACTAAACTTGTGGTTATCCTTGAAAATATGACATCTACAGTTTTTAACTCATATCATTTAAATCTCGTAAGATTTTTATGACTTTCACACTGTTTCTAACACCATTTCATATAAAATCGATTACTGTATTTATGAAACTTTATTTTAGCTTTCATATGTATGAAGATACTACTTTTGTTTTGCTGAAAGGTTTTGCTCTGCGAAATAGTTTGCTCAGAAAATATAAAGCGTGGGGTACTGAAGAATTTATGGGTAATGGTTTACACGAAGATTCTAAATCACATTTATTACAATTTCGTGAAAGAAATAGTATATCAAATATTAGTGTTAATGGCTTACTCATGTAACGTGTAAAGAACATACACACAAATATGTGACAAGAAATCTTTTTGAATTTCGTGCATATGCTATAGTTCGGTAACATACAACATACATATATTAGGGTGTTCTGAATTACCTCTATGTGTTACTGTTTATACGCACAGTGTATTACAATAATGTTCTGAATTACGCTTACAGATTATAGTTTTAAAATGTAAAATAACATGTTAAATACTAGTATTTGTAGAACTTTCAGTTAATACGTAAAGGTGATATAAATGATGCAAAAAGTCATTAAACTGATGATTGTTCGTAAGCTAGATAATTATCTAAATACAGCGTGAATAATACATTTTATACATTCTGCAAATGGTTAAAATAGTTGCAGTGTTTTAATTTGAAAGTTATTACTAAGAACAAGGTTGTGGCTGTCACTGCTACAGCACGTCGAGTTGAAAGTTCTAAATGAGTGTAACACACCGTCACAGGACAAATGACATGCTTTTAAAACGTGCTCTGAACGTTCTATTGCTGCATTGACTGTTGCTTAAGATGTTAATTAATCTATTAGACTATATTATTAATAGTTACTTAGTATGCTATTTAATCATATTATTAATTTTAAGTAGACTTAGTATACTATTTAATCTATTATACTATATTATCACTTCAGCATAAGAAAGAGGTTCATTGTTTGAAATAATATTGTTAGGACTTGTATGTCTTTTAATTTGTTTCGGGAATATTGCGTGTCCTGAATAGGAACAGAGAGCTTACTTAAGCTATGTTGAAATATGTGTGGAATGGACGACACAAGCAGGAAGTGTTAACTTTACCCTTTATTCTCCACGATATTACAGGTGCTCGCGGGAACTTCGGGATACGAAGACCAACCACTTGCGGTCTGAACGTAAAAATATAAAAACTACTAACTAACTAAAATAACTAAAAATAAGAGTTAACTTCGAGTGCTTTACACAAATGACTAACACTAAGACTGGCCTTTTAAATTAATACGTATGTAGTACGCACACTGCCGAAACTACAATACGTTTTAAGTATCAAGAGGACTAAACCTCTGTCCTTAAAGGCAGACAGCAGCTGATTGAAAACTCGTGCGGAATACAGTGGCAAAGGGGCTCACTTTCCCTCTCTCTATCTAACTCTTGGCAAAAAGCCACAACTTAAATACTTGGGCGTTAGCAAGTACAATTTGCATAAACAAGTTAACGCATTTAATTCTGGCCGAAAAGTGGAGAATAAGAAAAGCTAGTAAAGTTTTAAAATAAAATAAACATTAGTAAAACTTAAGATCCTTACAATATCAATCAATTAAATATTGTACAATGCTAAAGACAAATGGAATTAGAGGATTTGGTTTAGGATCAGTTAAATCAAGAGAAATTAAGGAAAAAACAACAAAATATTCGCCATTTGTTTACAAGAGTTAATTAAAGTGCACGCAAAATCTTCCACTTGCTTCAGCCATAACACATCACATTATATTTATTTAATTTACAGAATTGCAGTTACATTTTAGATGTTTCTTACCTGAAGTAAAGGTTGTATACGATTGAATGTATTGATCTTCATATGTAATTGCAATTTTTTTTTAAATTCAACTCTTCTTAATTTAATTTTTAGAAGTATTGAAGTATTATGGTTCTCGCCTAAATTCCTTCGAGAGAAATGAACTCCAAAGTGGAGAATATCCAGAAATTTGGTATCTGGGTCTCGAGGCCACAAAAATTGAAGGAGAGGAAGGAACGCCACATAACCATGGATACGACGATGATAATGGATCTTACATCAAGGTGAGATATGTGTGTATTCTAATAGAAAGAGATTAATGGGAAGGGATTAACTCACAAATCGCATTCGCGATGTGGCCTTCGTTCCAACAGACCCCAAAATCATTAATTAATTTTAATAAACAGTGAATGTACTTTTTGCTTTGAATTGCATTCACCTTTCCTCCCAAATTTCATGTGAAAAATTATCACTCATTTAATTAAATCCACGACTAATTCTAAATGATGATATTTATTGGAGGATTAACAAAATCTTATGTCAAATCCATGCTTAAAGATCAAATAATTTTGCAGCTATTCGTATTTAGGAGGTTAGAGATTAATACCGTTTATTCTACTTTCTTTAAAAGATGAATTATTTCTTGTTTAGTTCAAATTTATTTCAAAACAGCGCAGTTCTATATGACGCAGTTGAAACACAAATGATAAAAAAGGAGCTTTTGTTGATAATTTAAAATATTTATCTTCTGACTTACGGCAAATTTAGCTTGACTAGTAAATTTCATCTATAGAATGGCAACTTAATGAGCAAAAGGACACAGCTTGAGCAGTTAATTGCGCATGCTACTTTGCAACCATAGCATACTTGCCCGCGACTAGTGTTGTTTTTACCAAATCGTATGAATCTGTACATGTGTTCTGTATCACAGAATCTTTTTTTAACTATTTTATTTTTCTATTTTTGATTCAATATAATTTAATAAAAGACTCCATAAATTGATTTATTACAGTAACATTTCACTGTACACTTCACTAAACTAGCTAGCAAAAGCAACTTCCTCGAACCTCTTTTAATTCCTGTTTTTCTATCTGATAGCTCTTATAAACAGGTCTAAGTATTTTAGAAGAATAACAGCTGAGGTCATGTTTTCTGTGGTCAAATAGTACTATCTTATTTGCACATGTGAAACAACTTTAATTATCTTTTTATCAAATTTTTCATCACTATTTATTTTTTAAAGTAATTTCCTAGAAAGTATTTCTAAAGTAATGATAAGAGAAGGCACGCCATTTTACTAATCCAGGTTTACACTGAAATTATTTGTACGCTTACTGATACATTTTAATTTCATAAAACGATGCAGATTTTATTTGTTTTAATAGATTTTTCAAGAAATATCTTAAAATTAATAACTAATAACCTTTTGATATGATAAAAAAAACTAATTATCCGGATTCCAACTATCTGGATTTTTTCCTGTTATTTAAGACGGATTCCTGTTCCTGTCTTCTGTGACTCAAAAGCAGCTCTACAGGCAATCCTGGCTTGTTTTTTATTTAATTCCTTTGTTTTAATTTTTCACTAATTTAATACAAAAACGAATTTAGCACAGTACGTATTTATAAGATGGTTTAAATATTATTTACATGAATTTAAGCATAAAAGCATTACCAACATTAGTTGGAAAATACACTCATGTCCATAAATTAAGGATAATGCAAAATCAGGCAAAGGAAGAGTTAGAAGCAAAACAAATTTGACTTATTTGTAAAGCTTATTTATTAAACAAAAGGTAAAGAGGAAAAAAAGTTGCTATATGTTTGATATTATTAAAAAAATTAGCGATTTTTTCTCCCTGGAGCAAATTACAAAAAAAAAAAAAAAAAAAAAAAAAAAACTATTTACAAAAAACCAATATTACATGGTTGGTATGATTGTTAATACATTGTATGTCTCCCAGACGATGCAATACAGTCCGTACAACGCCTAGGCATGGCTAAGTATCAAATTATCGATCTGATCTTGGGGGCTATTTACACTACTACTCAAAAAGCAATGCTTTCCGAAGTTCCGGTTAGACATGTAGGAGGAGGTTGACGGGCTGCAACTCGTCGGCCAAGCATGTTCCCACACGTGCTCTACTGGATTCAAGTCCAGGTGAGAATGCTGGCCAGTCCATACGGGTGATATCCTCGATTGAAGGCATTCGCTTACGATGTTTGCACGGTGAGGACGGGCGTTGTCATCCATAAACACAAATTGTGTGCCCATGGCACCCCGAAAAAAAAAACGTACAATTTGTTCCAGAATGACGTCTCGATAGATTTGGCTTGTCATGGTTCCAATTTGAACATGCAGGTCAGTTCTGGAACTCAGAATAATTCCACCCCAAACGAGCACTCCTGCACCACCGTAACGGTGTCTTTCAATGATGTTTCCTTGGTGGTAGCGGGTACCTGGAGCTTTCCATATGAAAGTCCGGCGAGAATCAGACTGCAAGCTAAACCTGGACTCGTCGGAAAACATCACACAAGCCCACTGTTGCGGTGTCCACAATGAATGCCCTCTACTTCAGGCTAACGCAGGCGACAGTGAGTTGTAGTAAGTGGAACGCATCTGACAGGTCTACGAGCATATAGACCAATCTGCCCTAAGCGTCTGTACACGGTCTGCCTTGAAATTGTCGTACCGGTGGCTGAAGAGACCTGACGAGGCAGGTCTGAGGCTGTGCTCCGCCTGTTCCTTTTGGCAGTAACTGCCAAATACCGGTCCTCATTCGGCGTTGTAACTCTGGGGCGACCTGTGCTGTAACGTCTACTAACATTACCATCATCTTGGAATCGTTGCCAAAGCTTGGAGATGACACTCTGGGCAATTCCAAGTTCGTCTGATACTTCCAGTTGGGTACGCCCACATTCCAGACGGTCGATAATTCTACCACGTAAAAAATCATCCAAATGCGTCCTTTGTGCCATAACTATTCGGTTATTGCACTGAAATGCTTATAAAGCACCTGCGAAAAATTTTACTTCTTTGCCTGTATTCCCTATATATCACTCTCTTACACTCTGTGACGTACCATCGGTGTTATCTGGTTACTTCCTGAAATTTGCATATGTTTCTTGAAGATGTGTGTAGTGATTTTACAGGTGATATATTTATTTTAGAGTTCGATTTTCGCGTGACTCCGAATTATCCTTAATTTATGGACATGAGTGTATATAGATTATAAATATTAAAGAAAATGTAATTATATACTCTAACCAGGTCTTTGTTTCCTTTGTATCGGAACGAAACATATAAGTCTTTAATTTTTACTATTAAATTTATTTTTAATTTGTAAGTTAAAAAATTCATCGATGTTGGAAAAAATGATTATTCTTGAAATTTAAAGGAAAAGCAATTACGTGCTTTTGTAATATTTGTACTTGTATTTTGCTTTAACGAAGTAAAAATATTTTAGTTTCGTTTAACTGATCTTAAGTAAAATCCGATGAATGAAAATATAAAATTCCATCTCTACGTAAGTGTTTCGCCAGATTTAATAGATAACCAAATTATGCGGAATTTTCGGTTATCCAAAGCGGCTGGGTCACATTTCGGATATTTAGACTTCTGTTGTGTTTCATTTTCGTCCTTTACTATCAGTAAAATATATTTTGATGATATGAAGATAATGAAAGAGAGAGAACTACAAATAACTTCATGCGACAATTTTTAATTCAATTAATAAATCGCCTCTTTGTTAATTCTGAATTATCATTCGTAATTTTTTTTAAATTTGATTGAAAAGAATCGATAGAAGTCTGCCATTAATGCTCATTTGCAGGGTTCCTCACTCTTATCTCTTGCTAAATGTAATGTCGAGGAACCTAGTAAACTACTGATTGGAAACGTAAACTCAGAAAGTGCAGAAAGAACAGAAACGTAAACTCAGAAAGTGCCCTTTATTTGCTCATAAAGAAACAGTTGGCTCCTTTCTCAGAGCGTACAACAAAGCTTCCACTTGGGCTTAAGCTCAAAATGTGAGAAATAAGAACTATCTAATGACTAACTAAGGAGATTTAGGCGAAGCTAACACAATTCTATAGTAGTTGGCTCGTAATATTATATTAGCCAGCGAAGCTATCAAAAGGCACGTAATACGGCCGAGCGTAGTAACAGTTTAGATAGACGTAGCCAAAAGGCAAACGCGCACTATTCAGGAATCCTAACTCTCTGTCGTAAAGTCTTTGGAACTTAAATATTTTCTACTTCTCATTTGCATTTAACGCTATTCTAAAAACCTCATTCTGGTAAGGAATTGTAAGCTGAAGCTAGAGGAGATAAGAAAGTGTCATAAAATAAAAATAACTATTATAAAATTGAAACATACCTTACACTTTAATTAAATTGGCTTCTAATAAGCACATTTTAGGATAAATAAATAAACAAATTTTCTTAAAAGAAAAGCAAGCCCTATTTTAATTTTGTTTAGTAAATACGTGACATAAAAAAGTTTTTCTGTTGTTCGCGACATAAAATGTTTCCTGCCTGTAAAGTAATTTCTTATAAATTTGCCTTTCAACTACTTCTATTAAATTAATTATATTCTTCTTTTTTATGTCACGTATTTATTAAACAGAATTAAAATAGACTTGCTTTTATTTCAAGAAGCTTTGTTTATGAGCCAAAAGGGCATTAGCCCAGAAGGGTTATTTAAAGAATGCAAGCATTCCACTTCCGTTTACAAAAAGTCTAAAATAATGGCAAGGTTAACTAATGACTTTAATTTAAATGCTCTCTTTTTAAGTATCCTTTTCCTCCAAAAACCCAAACTCCTAAAACCAAAGTTTAAGTTTCTTGGAATGATTAAATCAATTTTTGATTTAATCATTCCAAGTGCTTTTAAAATATGCGAAAAATTAATATATAACAGTTGTGCATAAATAAAATGCTAAAATTAGACCATTAAACTAGGATTATTTCTGTATTTAGCGCGATTATATGATCTTGAGAGCAGTGTCATTTCTTTAATGCATGTTAAAACTAGTTAACATTAGCAAAAACCGGCTGTTGTTAATAATAACAACAGCCGCTTTTTTTAACAAACTGCACTTTTTAGTCAATGTGATAGAAACGCATAATAATCATACTTACTGGTAAATATTATAGGAAAAATACCTTATATACTCCCCTTTTTAAAGGACGACTGAGGTTTTCAGGAGACCCAATCGCCAAATCCTGGGTGTGGAGAAACCTCATCCAGATCTTTTAGTTCGGGCGCCACTGTAGGGACATTAGATATTTTTTTAAGGCAGGAGTGATGAAAAATGAACGACGCCTTCACCGGGAATCGAACCGCGGATCTCTGGAATACCAGCCCAGCGTGCAAAACCACTACACAATGAAAACACGCTAGGAAAGTGGGAGAAATACCTGATAACTTTTAAAGCACACTGGTTACTTATCACATGAAAGAATTCTTATAACTATGTCTTTTTAAATGGTTAAAAATAAGTTATTTAATTTTGCAAGAAGAGTTTCTGAAGTATCAGGAATTAGAAAGGATTGTTATATTTTTATACCTGCAGTTATTTGAGTTGCAGTCGCCCGTACAGTTGCAACATTGAAATCTTTCACCACATAAATTCAGTTCTTGCGAGAACGTTCTCTTGAACTTATTTCGATATTTGCAATTTCATGAAATAAAATAAATGTTTTCTTACAAACAGTAAACTCATTGCGTGTGGAGGAGATTTGGCTTAAAATGCTGTATTTTTCACCTAGTTCATATAAGTGTTCATTATTAAAGGAAACTGTAATAACTATAGAATTCCTGTTATCGGTTTTAGACCTACGTACCTCTAGAATCCTAAATCTAACGGTTTCCTGTGCATTCGCAATAAAAAAAATTTAAATTCCGGAAACAGTAACATTTTATCCACTTGCTTATTTAGTGACTGTTTTGCAGTACTTAGAGCTACTTGAATTTTTACAGACTTCATTAAGTGCTAAATAAAACCTTATTAGACCAAAGGGCGTTAGCCCAGAAGAGGTATTAATTTCGTTTTAATACCCTGTTCTTTCTTTGAACATTTCTGGAGCAAGTGATGTAATTTAGGGAAAATGAATGACTGAATGAAAGCGAAACTCACTTTACCTGACCACAGAACATTTACCTGGTTAATTGAATTTAAAATAAAATCTTAACAATATTATTTAATGTTTATAGGTTAACGAATAAGTACTAAATTATTACATTTAAGGAAAGATATAAATTAAACAAAAAAAAGTGACAAGAATTTAATTTCCTCGTCATCTAAATCGATCTCATAAAAATTTTTTCAATAAGTAACGTAGAAATTTCAGTTTAATTCAAACTCGCTTTATTACCATGGTAAATAAAAAATTCTTTTAAACACTTTAGAGACTTTTAAGTAATAATTTTTCTTTATAGAAATACCGTATATTGGAATTTAGTCCCTTTAATAATTTTCCGCATCTTTCCATTATGCATGAATTTCTTGAAGTGAAATTTCTTGAATAAAAAGCTCTAGTAATAAGTTAATATTTGATTGTTATAAGCTATTAAATAGAGGGTTATGCTACGCAACTGTGCAGTTACATTGATTTTTTCCCTTTCAGGTACTGCACGATCATTTAGCTTATAGGTACGAGATACTTGAAGTGATAGGAAAAGGATCATTTGGGCAAGTTATTAGAGCACTAGATCATAAAACTGACCAACAAGTGGCGCTCAAGATTATTCGAAATAAGAAAAGGTAACACGTGCTTTTTTGAATAATTTTCAAATTTGTATATTAATTTTATATAACGAAGGTCGGTCAAAAGATAACGCCAGTCTAACTCTTACTCGACAATAATAAGTACTAGATAAATGAAATTTTGCATATAGAAAGATTCGTCCTTTACTGCCTTACCTATATCTGATTTTTACTTCTTGTTGTAAGTAAGCTAACATGAAGATTCAACGTAACACCCTACTACGCAAACGTGCAATAATCGAATTTTACAAATCGAAGGATAATTCAGCGACATTGATTCACAGTAAGCACTTCCAGTATATGGGGACAACGGCAATGAATCGAAGAAATATGTATCAATGGCTTCAGACGTTAAGTGGAGGCGACTACAACATCTAGGACCAGACACTGTTTGGCAGACTGTTAAACTGATGGCAGACTGGAACAATGATGATGTTTAACAGAATGGAACAACTGATCAAAAAAGTATGAGTCATTGGGAAACTAATCCAAAATGACAGATGCATCACCAAAAGATAGACCATGGAGCGCACTCGTATCTGGCAACTAAAACACGGAAAAAAGTTTTGTTTACCGAGTTGCCTAATTCTTGCAGTGGAGATGATGCAAATCAGGAATACATTTGGGGCAAGCTTCTGTAAAGTTTGTCTGCGGATGGCTCAGTATGCTTTCATGAAGTTATCACGTATGATAAAAACTTGACTGTATCATTTTTAATCTGAGAGCAAAATGCAGTTCATGGAATGGATGCGTATTCGTGTCATGGAAATAACAGTGGCTGCGCTTCAGTTAAGTAAATGCATCATATACTGAGTGACATTTCCAAAGACGTAAAAAATTACATTTCTCTACTGTTTAGCTCATTACAGAGCTATAGTAGATTGTACGTTATTCCTTGGCTAACCCTTGTAATTAAACAATAATATAATACTTCTAGAATTATGAGGGTCACTAGGGAATTGTTGAGATGCACTTAAATGGAAGAAGTTAAGCTTACCAAACTTTAGGTATCTTCAAAGTAGTTTCTTCCCACGTTAGTGCTCTTTTGTAGAAAACTTTTCAAGGCTTAAATGCTTTAAAATATCCACTTCTTGGAATCGATTAAAAATATGTTTTTATAGCTTCATTAGTCTCGTCTTCGGAATGAGAATGACTGCCACGTAAATTTTGTTTTAGATAAAATAGTAACCAAAGGTTACACATAGCAGGAACATGAGAATCGGGCGAATTTTCTATAAGTTGAGGAATTCTTATTCAAGAAATTGGACTATCAGTCTTGCTACATGATAAGAGGCATTACTATGGTGAAGCATAAATATTAAATCTCCTAATACTCACTGAAATTCACTAGAGAATTTCTGTAACATACTTAGTGGTGTGCCAGTTAGCAATAACTGTCTTTTGTCCCGTCTAACTTGATGGCTTTGATCAGTGCTGTAATACTGAAAAAACGGCATTCATTATTTTTACATTGCTCATTGCCTTTTCACAACTGTTGGTTAGTGTTTACCTTCAAAAACCCATGCTTTACATTCTTGATTTGTTAGAACGTCAAAAAAGGGCAAAAAAGGGATGTGCGTTTCATTATCAGTCATTATTTTAGAAATAATGGGGTGTCCACCATCATTAGGTTATACAGTTCCTCGCTTTTATCGTTCTTGATGAAATGTCGAGGAACCTAATGAACTGTAAGCGAATTATCGCTTATTTCAATGAACAGAAAACGTAAACTTAAGAAAGGTTAATTACTCTTTATTCACTCAAAATAATATTAAAACTCGGCCTCTTTCTTTGGGCTTACAGCAAAGCCTTTACCTGAGCTTAAGCTCAAAAATAAGAAATAAGAACTTACAAAAGAAGAAAGAAGAACTAGTATGAGTGACTAAGAGATTTATCCAAAGCTAATACAATTTTAATGTAGTTGACCCGTAATCTTAAACTAGCCGGCGAACTAACAAAAGACATTTAATAATATGGTCGAGCGTAACAACAGCTTAGGGAGACGTAGCCCTCAAACGCGCTACTCGAAATTTCTATTTCTCTCTCTCGAAGTCAGTTGAACATTCCTTTAATACTATCTTTTCCTCATTTGCATTCAACTCGTTTCTAAAACCTCATTTTCGTAAGGAGTTGTAAGTTGAAACGAAGTAAGACAGGAAAGGTTAACTGAATTAAAATAACTGTTATAAAGTTAAAATATACCTTACAAGGTAGTTTTAAGTTTTCTTTAATGATTCTGACACACTTCATCTATCAGCGTTCTGTTAAATTATGGGGAATACAACAAACTAATTTTTCATATGCATTTCTTCACAAAAAATTTTATGTATAGCTGTGGATCCATTACGAGTTCCGTCTGTATTATTTGGTAGGTACAGCGATTATCATTGATTAAAATTTTTCGTATTGTCGACACTTCTGAGACTACAACTGACAAAAGTGTCTTTATTCAGGAGAGAGTTTCCACTAAGAAATTCTACAAACCATATGAGTACAGTGGCACCAGATAGGGATTTATTAGGCCCACCAGTGGCTAAACGGTTAAGACCGCTATATGCTGGTAGCTCGACCCGACATGGGTCAAACCCCAGGCAAACGGGCTGGAAGCATAGTTGGTTTTCGTGTTTTTCTCAGTATGTGATGGAAATATGATCCAGTTTCCCTTAGAAAGTTTTCCACGAAGCCATTCCTTCTCTTAAGCAGATAGCCCATTTGTCATATTCAAATAATCTACATTAACCTGATCGAGGTTAGCAGTGTTAAAATGTTGAAGCATTCTTCTTGACTTAAATCTTTAAACTTCAAGTCTTTTAACTTTTAAAATCATAGAAAATTATAGCGTGGTAATGCTTTCGTATTAGCTCCATTTGCTTTTCCTTCAAAAGTTATTCTGCGATGGATAAGCTGCACTTATCGCTATACATTGTCATCTTTTAATATAAAAAAGTTCAAATTCACATATCTAAAACATATAATATTTTTAGCGCATATTGTCAGCTCCTACCTCCAAAATTTCAGAGTAATCTGTGTATTTTAATTCTTCATCAATCCTAGCATTAAATAAACTTAATTTTTTAACTCGCATGTGGAAAACTTTGGCGTCATTTTTTAATATTTGAGATTTTGATTTATAGCACAAATTAAAAAATATTTAGCGTAATTTAATGCTTATGAACGCCATAATATACATCAGGGCCTTTAAGGATTTGTTAGTCACATCACATTATTTTAAAATTACTGGTATCCTCATTAAAAAAAATTCTTTGCACCATTCAGCTTTTATGAAACTGAAAAAAAAAATCTTAAACCAATTTTCTCTCTTAGGCAATGAGGTGAAATTTTAAAATGGCATTCAGAACTGTCTTTTATTACAGTAATAAAATAAAAAAAATGACTTTAATTTTAAAGCGTAATATAGGATAAGGCATATTTATAGCTTTCAGTATATAGATAGAAATGTCTGATGAAGGAAGATTTCACTCTAAGCCAGAATTTCTGAAATTGGATCCCTTGGTTCTCTAACATTCTGCGAGAAATCTCTGGGGATTTCAATGAGAGATAATACTGAATAATTTACTTGCGCGTAAATGTATTTCTGAGTCATTGTGTAAGGATTTATTGAAACCATGGATATTATTTTCAGGTTTCTCAAGGCTGAGAAACTATAGTCGAAGCAATTAAGCATTGCGTTGTATTTCCCTGTTTAAATATTAGATCATTTGGTGTCCGCGAATGACTTTGCCATAGATATTCTAAACTACTTCGCTTTCGCCATGAAATGCTTTATGAATACTTGGTAAGCTCTTAATGGAAATACAATTTATATATATATAATATTTTAGAGTGCAGAAAGAATGCACAATTAACTTAAGATGGTTGTAGATGGTGCTTGCATACAGATGAAATATGTAACTGCATAGTAGAGGAGTGAAACCTGGAGACAAACGTAACTGTATATTCAACACATAATGCTGATTTTTGGCATTGTTCTTAACTAATCCTCTTTGACTTCGAAATTTAATTTTGAAGAATATGAAACCTTGATCAGAATCTTAATGGTTTATTTAACAGCAAAACTTTCAAAGATGAAACCTTAACATCAAAAGTAAACATAACATCTTAGGTGTAGACTCTTGTGAAGTTAAACTCCTAAGAGGTGCTCGCGTTTAACTGGCAGCTACTCAGCAAGTAAGGAGAAGACCACGTCTTGCATAAGCCAAAACCACTTGGTTCCCCTGTCATAAATCTCTATCAGAGTTAGACTGGACTCTATTGCAGCTCTTACAGAACCATCGGACTATCGGTCTACTGGAGTTGAATCGGACAGGACTGGGCTTGGAGACTGGAACCCATCCATAAGGCAAATAATCCTCTCTGAGCTCCTTCGACAGCCGTGAACCCTTCGGATTGAACTACCCTTCTGCGAGCGTAACTTCACCTTTAATCAACGGCGGCTGCCGTTACTAGAGCCACTCATGCAAATATTTAACACAATTTATTTATAGACAGATCTTTCAGATGAATATTCTAATTCTATACCATCATGGGCGCAATCTGCATCCGACATTTTTGGAAATTTACTACATCTCAACGCATACAATGGATGTCATTCTCACATAGGAACCAAATAGAAAAGGTGAGCTGCGTCCAGAAGAAACATAAGAGAGTGTTTAAAAACCTTCGGTTCTCAATGGAAATTTTATTCAGTGATTGGATAAAGGCTATATGCATTGCAACATTATTACACGGTGTATTATAAATAGTTACTGTTTTAGGACCAACAGAAGAAATACCGAATTTAAAATGAAGGATAAAAGCGCCTATTTCAATTAAAATTAGAATTTTGCTTTACATTATCTTACATATCTCGGATTTTAAAAATATATGTTACAAACAGTTCGTTTTTGCAAGCAGTTCTCTTTTGAGTGTTTAATCATATTTTGTCCAACGATTTTTGACATTTGAAAGAAAGATACTTACTTTAGAAAACAGTACTT